AAAAATGGCTAACCCTCAGAATAGAATACTTTTATATTCGGCCCAAGTGTTAGTACATCGCGATCGTGGAATTTCAACTGCGATCGCGAAGAGGAAATGGCAACTAACCGGAAATAATGCTACGCGATCGCGAAGAGGGAAATTCTGATGGCCCAAGGACTGAACTACGCGATCGCGTGAAGCCACGTGCGATCGCAAGGGAGAAGAGGGAATCACTAGCTGAACTACGCGAACGCGTGAAGAAGTATGCGAACGCGAAGAAGGGAAATGCACACTTACGCGATCGCGGACAGGTATGTGCTAACGCGAAGAACAAATATTCCTTCCTCCAAAATTACACTACGATAACGCGGAGGAATTGGCGCAAATGCGATTAAGGAAATCAGGTACCAGCAAAACAACAGTCCAACAACATGGAGAAATTGCTCGTAACCCATCCGAAATACACCCGAGGCCCCCGGGACCCCGTCTAACCACACCAGCAAGTTCCATAACCTAACAAGGACTCGCTCGAGGTCTCAATTCACATCAAACAACGTTGAAACTACGAATGGCACCATGAATCGAACTTACGAACTTTCAAATCTTCCAACTTCTAAAACTCGAGCCAAAACATATCAAATCAATCCGGAATGATGCCAAAATTTGCATGTAAGTCCCAAATGACATAACAGAGCTAATCCAACTCTCAGAATCGTATTCCGACCCCGGTATCCCTAAAGCTAATTCTTGGTCAAACCTCTCAACCTTCCAAACTTCAACTTTTTCAACTTTCGCGGAAATGCTTCAAATTACCATACGGACCTCCAAATCCAAATCTGGATACACGCCTAAGTCCAAAATCACCATACGAAGCTGCTGGAATCATCAAAATTTCATTCCAAAGTCATTTACACAAAAGTCAAATTTCGGTCAACTCTTATCGCTCAAGCTTCTAAAACAAGAAGTCTTCTTCCAAATTGACTCCGAATCATCCGATAATTGAACTCGACCACGCACATAAGTCATAACACATAATACGGAGCTTCTCGAGATCTTCTTCAGCTGAACGGGACGTTAATTCTCAAAATGACCGGGTCGTTACATTAATATTTTGGCGAAATTCTCTATAGGTAAATCCTCGCCGTCAAACAAATGGCTTTAAATATACATAACATCAGTTTTACGGTCAAAAGGAGTTCAATGCAATAAGGAAAGAATAAATTATATCCAACATGAAATACTATGGACAAAATCTTAATTAATTTATAAATCCTAAATTTAAGACAAATTTTTGATATACTTGTGTTACATGGAATTAGGATTTGAAAGGTATATCTAAGGAAGAGTTTATATAAGGTGAGACATTAATCGATTTTAAAGTTTTAATATTAGGACTTCCTACCTAGTTTAAAATAAAAAAATATTTAATATTTAAAATTATAGTTGATTTCACATTCTAATATTTAAAATTTTAAAATCAATTAAATTTATGATTCAAAATATAGTTATTGGATTCCACTGTTGTAAAAGCAATTTATTCTTTTCTAATTTATCAAAAAAAATTATATAGTATTTCTTATTGATTAAAGAAATAGAACAACTTGCATTTTGCTCACGAGAAATAAAAACTTCTCTAATATTTTTTAACATACCATATTTGTGTCTTTTAGAATGAACTTGAAAATGAAGGGGGGGGGGGGGGGGGTAGAAAGAATGAACTTGAAAATAGCTTTTCTTTTTTAAAAATTAAAAAAAATTCTTAAATCTTTAAAGGTTTCATGTTCTTGATAAAATTGAAAAGGAGGCATGGTAATTGTGAAATTTAGATGATAAAATTATAGAACTGAAACTAAGCTAGCGTTTGGCCATAGATCCCAAATTTATTTTGAAAAATCTGATTTGGGTGAAGTTTGGTTTGAAGGTGAAAATGTGTTTGGACATACGTGTTCAAAACATATTTTCCAACTTTATTTTGAAAAAACATGTATATAATTCTCAAGTTTTGGGATTTTCGCCCAAAATCAGCTCAATAGCTGATTTTGAGATTTGGGATTTGGGATTTGGGACTTGGCCAAAATGTGGGAAAAATTGATGGCCAAACATGAGTTTTGAAAATAAATCCCAAATTTATTTTGGCAAAACTCATGGCCAAACGGGGCCTAAGTTTAGTTGAACATACAGAGAAATGATTAAGGGAATCTATGAGACAGAGTTTCTTCCTTTATTAAGTTAGCTATATATGATCAAAAGCCACCAAAAGTACCTTTTTGGAAATTTGATGTATTTAGCCGAGATGGAGAACTCGAAAAGCAGTTTCGTGCAACAAAAGCAATTTTTTTGCTTTTGGGAAGAAACTATAAATTCTACATTCTTTCAAGAAGTAGAAGCATAAACATAAGCATAAAATTATTATTTTTTTAGATAAAGTATCTTTAATATACATTTATTTTTAAATTATCCTTCATTATTTAACTTTTTCCTATTCCTTTTTTTTATTTTATTTTTACCATCCCTTTCTTCTTTTTTATTTATTTCAGGGATAATGTATAAATTCCTCCCCGACCTATGACCATATTACCAACTACACACTCTTCTTTTCGGGGGTCCTGTTACCATCCTAAAATATTTTAAAGTAAAATTATTTACCCCTTAGAAAGCTACAACCAGATGCGTGCAAAGTGGTGAAATACACGCGCCTAAAATGTGTATTTCTTACTTTAAAACTTTTTTTCACCGTTCTCTCCTTCTTCCTTATTTTCCTATTTGCAGACCTTCATTACCATATCCGGCCAAAAGGCAAAAGCCTCATTGGATGGGTTTTATATAATACTTGTTTAATATTGTCAGATCTGGCCGGAGAACGAAACTCCGACGAAGACCCTTGCTCGGCGAAACTCCACTGTTGTTCACCATTTTGATTGTTCGTAGGTTCTTACTGAATCATGCTCGTTGCTCCCTCTAGTTGTAGCCCTGTTTCTGTTATTAAACATATCTGCTTTTGATTTCTGGGTTAATTTTGCATTGTATTGGATTTTCGCTCCGGCATTTCGCCATTGAAACGATGTCCCCCTTATTCGTGGGAGAAGAGGTTGAGAAGACGAAGGAGACTAATTAATTAGATGTAATTAATTATGTAATGTCCAATCAAAAGATGACACTTGTACCTGTTAATCAATTCTAAAATTATTTTTGTAACTTCCACTTGCCCTTAAGAGAGTGTGCACACTCTCTATACCACGTCAGCACTTAGGGTGGTATTTATTATACTTTAAAATAATTCAGGGGGATAATAGGACCCCCAAAAAGAAAATGTGTGTAGTTGGTAATATGGTAATAGGTCGGGGAGAATTTCATGCATTATCCCTCTATTCTATTTTTATCGTATTTTTATTCTCCTTCTCCTATTTTTTTTTTTTAAATAATCTCTCTAATATCTTTTATATAGAATTTTACGAAGTAGATTTTTAATTTATACTGAATAAATATATTGATATACTTAAATTATCATGTAAACAATAAGTAATACCTGATATCTAGTATTATTGCTTTGAATAATATATTTTTATTGATTAAATTCTAGTATATGTTTTTACTTTATCTTTTATATTTTAATTAAATAAAAATAAAAATTAATTTATTTTATTAAATATTGCAAAAAGTACTTCTCAAATGAATTGGCTAAACATAAACTGCAACTCTCCCAAACTAATTTAAAAAAAATATTTTTGAACAAAAATATTTCTCAAAATGAATAATTTTTGACAGTTTGACCAAACGAATTTTTAAAACTAGCTAGAGCTTGGAAAGAAACATCTTACATCTCTCTTTGCCTAAAATAGGAGGACCTTTTGAATATATTGCAAGTGTACAAAGTAAACTGTTTTATACAGATGCATTTTCTAGTGGTGGAGAAGAATAGGGACCCTTTTTAACAAAACAACAAACGTGACCTTCGCTGCTCTTCAGTTCCTTCAAATTAACTTGCTATCAATCTTTTCGTAAACTTATATTATTCCATCAAAATTCATGTTCTCTAATCTAAAATGAAAAAAAAAGAGCATAACTATTTCATTTTTTATTTTTATTTTTATTTTTGAAGCTGCAACGTTTCTCTTCCACTTGCACATCCATAAATCTCAAATTTCTTAGAATATCGAAAAGTAAAAATCATAGAACCAATTTCTTGTTAGCATGTTACCTCTTCTTCACTTGACATTTAAATAATATTACAATTACTGTACCAAACAAAAGAAGGAATTTCAATTTATAGTGAAGATGGTATTAAGTTTCACTATTCATAAAAATAGTCATTTGACATAACTTACTATCAACAGTTGTAACCAAATTGAAGTTATCCATTTTTTGTTAAAGTAATGTCAGATTAAGCAGCTAGCCAGGATACATATAATTGGGTTTCAATTAATGTAAATAAAAATATATTAATAATTTACCCGTATTCGGTAAGTGATTAAAGTTATATTGCAATAACTTGTTTGGTGCGTGAATACCTATTTTTCCTTATTTACCAAAAAAAAAAGTATTTTTCTTAGTTAAATTTAAAGATAATCTGACAGTTTTGGCTTTGTGTTCATAAAAGACAAAGTTTATTTCACTCAAACATCTTCTCTTATACTTAAAACACAAATCATCCTTCCATTGAGTTGTTGACTCCACTACCGACCTTGTGTTATGGTAGGCAAAGTGTTACATTTTTTTTTCAAATAATGTTTTAACTTTTAACCACCCTTCTATCAACCAAAATAGAAAATAAACAAAATAAGTGGTCCAGAAAGTCATATTTATGTTCCATAATACACTTTCCTATTTAGTTTACCTCAAAAAAAATATTATTTTATATTTAGATGAAATGATATATAATCACTTAAATGTGTACAACTTATTTTAGATCGTAAAATCTAAAAAAAATTATTTCTTTCTTAATTTTTTCTAATCTCCAAATTTTATTTTCCAACAATGCCCCTGGTATACGACCTTCAGTTGTCGCACATGAGCTTGAGAGCGAACTACGAGTATTAAATTTTCCACTTTCCAGCAGAACCACATTCTCCAATTCCTCTTCTTAAAACCAAAAAGAATCAATTTTTCTTCAACCCCAAATTCCAATTCAGATTTTTCCTCGTAATTGTCAAATGGCTACTTCAATTCAAAATTTAGTACCACCATTTTCTTGCCGGCGTTTGAGCAGTACGTCGTCGTTTCCATCCCTTTCTTCTCCAATCGCCATTTTCCGACGCAGAAATGCAAGAAACAAGTTAAAAGGAATGTGTAGAGCAATGGTAGAGCAGACAGTACAAGGAGGAGGGGCTGCTTCTGCTTTTGCTAAAGAAATGGAACGACTTTCTGCTAAAGAGTCTCTTCTTCTTGCTGTCAGTAGTCATTCTTCCCCCCTTTTTAGCTCCATTTTAGATTTATTTTGTAATTTAGTCCTGCAATATTCGTTCTTCTAATGCTTGAAGTTCCAATTTTGTTACTCTCAATTTATGTGAAACCATTTGACACGGAGTTTAAGAAAGTAAAGAATTAATATTTTGAACTTATAGTCATAAACATGTCATAATATTTGTGTGATTATAAACACTTAACTTCTTATTAAGGGTAAAGAAAAAGTTTAAGTTAAATTGTTTTGAAATTTAGAAAGGAATCGTTCTTTCTGGAGCATACCATAAAAGTTATAGGGTCACATAAACTGGAATAGAGGGAGTATCTTTTTTCCATATGAATACAAGTGTTTATATTTGGTCATTAAGTGTAAGAAGAAAGGGCTATCTATAAAAATATATAAGGATAAATGGGTATCACTAATAAGATGAAGGATTGTTTGTATGTATCTGTATTTTCAGAAGTTTCAATCTTTCCTCTGTTTTAATGGGAAAGGTAATTCTTTGATGTTATTGTGCTTTTTTATGTGTGAGAAGACAATGTCATGTGGAGATGTATGATTGTATTTACCAAATGAGGTCGTTTGGTATGAAGGAAGATGTCTTCCATTGAATATCCTTTTTGTGAGAATTTTTCCTTTGGGAAATTGGTTTTTTAGTTTGTTTTTAGTCTTAGGCCTCATTTGTTTGCACTTAATCGAGATCTTAATCTTAATCATTCAGATCTCAATAATTAAGTGTGTTTGTTTTTTAGATCGGAATCTTAATCATTCAGATCTTAACCATGAAGACTGTTTGTTTTTTTAATTTTACAACCATTTAATGGGTCTGAATAGATCTTGATGATTAAGATCTATAACAAAGTCTTAATATCATTAAGCTGTTATACATTCAAGAGTTTTTGTAAAAAATTCTATTTCACTATTACTCCTACACTTTCACCACTAATCACCATCACCCATCATTGTCCCCCTACCATTATAGACCACCACCACCCACTACCCACGATCCATTACCACCATTCTCAACCATAACCATCATCGCTGCCAAGCATGAATGTCAGTTGTCACTACCACTAGCCATCATTTACAATCGTCACCACCAGCCACCTAACACAACAATCACCGATCACCGTTATCAACCACCACTATATATCATCATTGATGTTATCAGTCACCACCACCATCAAACACCACCGTTAACTACTACTGTCATCCACCATCTACTACCCATAATCACCACTATCAACAACCACCAGCTACTATCCAGTCAGCACCCACAACCACCAGCCATCATCACCACTAACCACCATATAATTTTGAAAAAAATATTTTCTTGATATAGTATTTACTATTTGATTTGAATTTATACTTATTAATTTTTAAATAAAGACAATATTTACACATTTTAGATGTAAAGAAACCAAACAACCTTAATTATTCAGTATTCAGATCTTAATACAACATCTTAATATTCAGATATATATTTAGATTCAATTGTTCTAATCTTAATACATATATTAATATTCAGATGTGTATTCAGATTCAGATGTCTTAATCTTAATAAAAACAATGAGGCCTTAGGTTGAGCGTAAAAATTGGTGTCATGTACTAATCATGCAAGATATAGGATAATGTATAAGTATAAAAATTGAAGAACAATATTATTGATTATACTGCACGGTTTATTTTCAAGGATTGCTCTTCTATACTTTTTGTTTGTCCTTTAAGCAGTAAAAGAAATTACTTATTCTGTTATAGTTCAAAGATGCTGGTGGGTTTGAGGCATTGGTCACTGGGAAGATAACAGATGTACAACGCATTGATGTGAATGAGAGGATCATTGGTCTCGAGAGGCTCAATCCGACACCTCGTCCCACAACGTAAGGTGTTAAATCTTACTGACAAACTTAACTTTCAAGCTTCTTGACAAGGTATTCATTGGTGGTTTCATTACTCAGGTCTAACAATTTGGAAGGCCTATGGAATTTTGAGTGGTTTGGAGCTGGTAGCCCAGTACTCATTTTTGCCAAATTTTTGTTTGGGTAAGTTCTATTTTTTGGGATAACATTCTCTTTTTTCCCCCTTATCCAGCTTAAATCAACTCTTTAGTGTATGAACCAAGAAGTAGATATGCTTGCTATCTTCCCGATTGCTGAAAACTGTGAAAGGGAAAACTAGACTTCCCAAAAGTATCTAGAGTCCATTACTCAAATGGTCACTTAACTATCCTAAATTATCTCCTAAAGTCACTTTTCTTTCGTTTGTAACAACTGTTAGAATAGTCATGTAAATAGGAGTAAATAAATAACCCTAATCCAATATATATTAGGAGTAGGACATGTTATGTGTGTGTATATATATATAGGGCTCATTGTAACATATGTCAATACATCAATAATATATTTTCTCCCGTGCATTCTCACATGGTATCAGAGCAATTGTGAGAGGTTTATCGCTGTGCATAAATTCCAGCAATTCCGGGAAGAGAAATCAGTCACCGGAACCCTTTTTTCCGGCGACTTTTTCAAGCCTGTTTGCGTCTGCTTTGTCTCTGTCAGTGTTGTGCAAAATCCAACACTACCACAAGAGTCGCCACTGTCCGACGACCAAACCCCACAAAAAATCTCCGGCAAACAGTACCCCACGCGCCTCCACGCGCCACCAGAAGCTCACGCGCGTGAGCCCACGCGCCGGCGCGTGCACCACTTTCCGGCCATTTTTTGACGAAGTTCCTTCAGGGCAGTTGGATCGCCCTCAAATTCCGAGCCTACCCATAATTTTATTTTTCAATTCCGACCACTTTGAGTTTTTCCGGCGACTACACTGATTTTTCCGGCAGCTACAGTATTTTTCCGGCAAACACAGTGTTTTCTTCATCTGTTTCAGAGAATTTTCAGTTGATTCTTTTTGTTATTTGGTAATAATCCAACCATGTCTTTGGGAGTCGATGCTTTCGGGTCTAGAAACCCGGGTTCTGGCAGTTCCGGTGTTATGATTACCTCAGAACCTTTAATGGGAGGTTCAAACTACTTAGATTGGGCTTCATCTGTCGAGTTGTGGTGTAAAGGTCAAGGAGTTCAAGATCATTTAACAAAAAAGGCTAGCGAAGGTGATGAAAAGGCCAAAACACAGTGGGAGAAGGTCGATGCTCAGTTATGTAGTATCCTGTGGCGATCTATTGATTCCAAGTTAATGCCCTTGTTTCGTCCATTCCAGACATGTTATTTAGTTTGGGAAAAGGCTCGTAATCTATACACTAATGACATATCTCGTTTTTATGATGTAATATCGCGAATGACAAGCTTGAAGAAACAGGAATTAGATATGTCTACTTACTTGGGACAAGTTCAGGCAGTCATGGAAGAATTTGAGACGTTGATGCCAGTTTCTGCTAGTATTGAAAAACAACAAGAGCAACGACAGAAGATGTTTCTAGTTCTTACACTCGCTGGACTCCCTAATGACCTTGATTCAGTACGTGACCAGATTTTGGCTAGTCCAACCGTCCCCACAGTTGATGAATTATTCTCTCGATTACTTCGCCTTGCTGCAGCACCTAGTCACCCAGTGAGCTCATCACAGACACTTGACTCCTCTGTCCTCGTATCCCAATCAGTGGACAATCGGGCATCTCATACTATGGAGAATAGACGAGGAGGAGGTCGTTTTGGAAGATCTAGACCCAAGTGCTCTTATTGTCATAAACTTGGACACACTCGTGATGTATGCCACTCTTTACATGGCCGCCCAACCAAAAATGCTTATGTTGCTCAGACTGAGACTACAGGTAACCAGGGATTTTCTTTATCTGAAGGGGAGTATAATGAGTTCCTTCAGTATCGAGCAAGTAAGCAGACATCTCCACAAGTAGCTTCTGTTGCTCAGACTAATACTTCTGTTGCTGGTAATTCTTTTGCTTGTGTTTCCCAGTCTAGTCCTCCTGGACAATGGGTTGTGGACTCAGCCGCTTCTGATCATATCTCTGGTAATAAATCACTTTTGTCAAATATTGCGTATTCACAGTCTCTTCCCACTGTTACTTTAGCCAATGGGTCTCAAACCAAAGCAAAAGGAGTTGGACAAGCGAATCCCCTACCCTCTGTCACTCTAGATTCCGTTCTCTATGTCCCTGGCTGTCCTTTTAATCTTGCATCTGTTAGTCGTTTGACTCGTGCCCTCCATTGTGGTACATATTTTATTGATGATTCTTTTATTATGCAGGACCGCAGTACAGGGCAGACGATTGGAACAGGACTTGAATCAGAAGGGCTTTACTACCTTAACTCCCTAAAATCCTCCAAGGCATGTCTAGTTACAGATCCTCCGGACCTAATTCATAGACGTTTAGGACATCCAAGCTTATCCAAGCTTCAGAAGATGGTGCCTGGTTTGTCTAGTTTATCCACATTAGAGTGCGAGTCATGTCAGCTCGGGAAACATACCCGAGCCTCCTATCCTCGTAGTATTGAGAGTCACGCAGAGTCTATTTTTTCTTTAGTTCACTCTGATATATGGGGTCCTAGTAGAGTCAGTTCAACCTTGGGATTTCGTTATTTTGTTAGTTTTATTGATGATCATTCAAGATGTACTTGGATTTTCTTAATGGTGGCCTTGTATGTCGCTTGCGTCGGTCACTTTATGGTCTAAAGCAGTCTCCTCGAGCCTGGTTTGGTAAGTTCAGCACAGTTATTCGAGAATTTGGCATGATTCAGAGTGAAGCTGTCTGTATTCTATCGGCATTCTGCCTCGAGTCTCTGTATTTATCTGGTGGTCTATGTTGACGACATTGTTATTACCGGCAATGACCAGGATGGTATTACTAAATTGAAGCAACATCTCTTGCAACACTTTCAGACTAAGGATCTGGGCAAACTAAAGTATTTGCTGGGTATTGAGGTCGCTCAGTCTAGCTCAGGTGTTGTGATCTCACAACGAAAGTATGCCTTAGATATTCTTGAAGAGACGGGAATGACAGGTTGTAGACCGGTTGACACTCTGATGGATCCGAATTCTAAACTTATGCCAGGATAGGGGGAGCCTCTTAGCGATCCTGCAAGATATAGACGGTTGGTTGGTAAATTAAATTACCTTACAGTGACAAGACCTGACATTTCCTTTTCTGTGAGTGTTGTGAGTCAGTTTATGGATTCTCCGTGTGATAGTCATTGGGATGCAGTTGTTCGCATTCTTCGGTATATAAAATCAGCTCCAGGCAAAGGTTTATTGTTTGAGGGCCGAGGCCATGAGCAGATCGTTGGATACTCAGATGCTGATTGGGCAGGATCACCTTCTGATAGACGTTCTACGTCTGGATATTGTGTCTTGGTAGGAGGAAATTTGGTGTCCTGGAAGAGCAAGAAACAGAATGTGGTTGCTCGGTCTAGTGCAGAAGCAGAATATCGAGCGATGGCTATGGCGACATGTGAGCTAATTTGGATCAAACAGTTGCTCAAGGAGTTGAAATTTGGTGAGATTAGTCAGATGGAACTTGTGTGTGATAATCAAGCTGCTCTTCATATTGCGTCAAATCCAGTGTTCCATGAGAGAACTAAACACATTGAGATTGACTGTCACTTTGTTAGAGAAAAGATACTCTCGGGAGATATTGCTACAAAGTTTGTGAAGTCGAATGATCAGCTTGCACATATTTTCACCAAGTCCCTCACTGGTCCTCGTATTAACTACATATGTAACAAGCTCGGTACATATGATTTATATGCACCAGCTTGAGGGGGAGTGTTAGAATAGTCATGTAAATAGGAGTAAATAAATAACCCTAATCCAATATATATTAGGAGTAGGACATGTTATGTGTGTGTATATATATAGGGCTCATTGTAACATATGTCAATACATCAATAATATATTTTCTCCCGTGCATTCTCACACTCTTGAAAGGGAATTGAAAGAAATAATATGATTTTTCAAATCAAAGTCCTAAATATTAGATAAATAATTAAATGACTATTATGATTTTCAAATTAAAGTCCTAAATATTAGGAAAATCATTAAAATAGCTATTTCTAATATTAGAAAAATAAGTAATGTCTATTCCTACATATTAGGACAATAAATTAAATTACTATGTTGTCCAATATAAAATATAGTTTAGAAGTGTATAAAAGGCGAACGACATTTCACTAAGGGCCTTCGTGCTTTTAATATCATATATATATATATATATATATATATATATATATATATATATATATATATATATATATATATATATATATATATAGACAGAGAGAGAGAGGGGGGGATGCATTTATCCTACTCAAGCAGTAACTTGGGCCATTTGTGATATGGTTGTGTTATGGAGACGAATAATTAGGTAAAGTACTTATTCAACATGTCCACTAATATATTATTAGAAAGAAAACATGAAACTTCTTGTACAAGTAGCTAACATTCAGTGCTTTACTATCTAATGATCCACAAAAGATGGAAGAAACAGCAGAGGTTCAACAACAGGGACCTGACATCTGAACACTGGATAGGGGTCAATAAATAGCAGAGTGATAAGTTGTTACCAGCAGTGAAAAGATAACAATTGTTGTGCCTTCTTACTCATAATCTTTCATATTATCCAATATAGGATCAATCCCAGTTTGTCCTCAGCGGTTGCACATTAATACCATCAGCTGCATGCTTTAGAGAGGCCGTTTGCCCAGCAAAACTTGTTCTCAAATAACTGCACAACATCTCTTCAGAAAAACAATATGGGGTATTAATTGGATTGTCTTCCTCTGATAAGAGCAACTGTGATGGAAGATTCGAGGCTCAGTATTAGGAACTCCAAGCTCAGAACCATTTGAACTCCTGTATTTTGTTTATCGGTAAATTCACAGTTCAAAGTTTTATGATGTCACAAGGGGAAAAATTATAGTAATCGTCATGTAGATTTACCATACCTCAAGAGCTTTGTTGCATTCCTACAGAAACACTTCGAGAACGCCTTTTCTTTGACATGCCCTGAAACACAACTTTCATACCATTACTTATTTGCTCAAGGAAGAGATGATGCAGGAACAACATAGTGATTACACTTAAAATTTGAAAAAGAACAGCATAGATAAGGTCAAAAAACAACTGTCAAGGTACTATGTAAACTAAAGAAAAAACAAGCAATTTGTCCCGAGCACCAAAATTTTGGAAGTACCATTCAAATTCCACAAAGATGAACATATCAACTTTCTTTCTTTTTTCTTTTTGTAGGGCCTAAATTGTAGGATGACAGCACTAAATGAGTGCTTATCTGGCGTCATCAAGACACCAAACAAGGTCAATTTTTAGAAGAGGTCAGAAAAGCAATTTGGAGTGATCATAGGTGGACAATCAAGAGGTCAACATAAAATAACAACAAAGCCAGGCCCAAGAAAGTGTCAAGCAGAGGCCACAGATAAACAATCACACGATGACTTGTTGACATTCATTTATAAATAACAATTCCGCGACAATAAAAGACAATATTAATTAAAAGAAATATGGATAAACTTACTAATAATCACAACAACAATAGATTTGAACATGCTAGTCTCATACCTTAGAGGACGGCAGGGGCAAGGAAGCCTGTCGTACAGCCTTCTCAGGTTCATTAAGCTGCCGAATCTCTTGAAGTTGGCATGCTATATCCTCCAGAAGCTTTAACTGCATCTTTTCTCTTTCTCTATGCTCTGAAGTCAAGTCAAGTTTCTCTCTTCCCTCTTGCACAATCTTTAACCTCTCACGAAGCCGTCCCACTTCAGTTTCAATTTTCAGTCTTTCATTGTCTACTGAGGACATGGGATTTCGCCGCAAATCACATAGCAAAGGTTTACCACGTGGCCCCACTGGTGGAAGCCCATAAGACGTGTCTGCACTGCTTTTAAGATCCACTTGTGTATACAACGTGTTAGTACTTGGACGATCTCTAATTACATTAATCCTCTGTGCAGGAGAAGCTTCAGTAGGGACACTAGTTTTTCCAGAAAATTCTAATGCACTATTCGTAGATTCACCACTATTGACTTCGTTGCAAAAGTTGGATCCATCAACAATTACATGAACATCATAAACGTGAGGTTCTTTATCCAAGGTCAAATTACATGGACATTTTAATCCCTGATATCCATCCGTCTCATGATACTTCAAACACTTGTCTTTTCCAGAAACATTAATACAAGCTCTTTCACAGGTTTCTGTATCTGGATTTTCTTTTAGCACTTCTCCTCCCAGCGAAATGGCATGATCAGGAAGCTTCTGGTTTACATCAGAGTTGTTAACCATAAACACCATCTCTTTCTCCTGAAATTCTTGGCTGCTATAAGAATGCTCTCTTAGGCCAACTTGCTTTTGGGAGCTGGCATCTTTATTCTGTTTTTGTATTGGTGCCTTTCCCCCCAAAGCAGTATAGTTTTTATTATCAACAGAAATTATCTCCACGGAATTCCTGTTTTCTGCCTCAAAAGATGCACTAATCTGATGAAGCATAAGAACTGGATCCTCATTAGGATCAGATGAAGCATCAGGACGTCTTAGAACATCCGCTATAATCCCACTATCAACTGTTGATTCTTCATTTCCAAGATCAGACATCTGCCTATACAGTTCAAGTTCCTTCTCCAAAAAGTGTTTCTCCCTCTCTGTCCGCACCAGGATCTCCGTTAGAATGTTCATCTCCTCTGCTTCGTAAGCAGATTTCTCTTCGATTAATCTCTGGTATTGCCGAGCATCCATTTCAATAGATGCCTTCTCCTCTTGTAGACGTAAGATCATAGCCATAGCCTCATCTGCGGCAGATGCGGCAGCATTTCTTTCCTTCTCAAGCTCAAGGCAGAGAGCAGCTCGAGCTTCTTGTTCGTGTTCTAAGGCTCGTTCCAAAAGGCTTAGTCTCTTTTTCTCATCGAAGCTGGAATCCAGTTCGCCATAATGTCTCAGCTCGTCAACGGATGCAAAGTTCTTTCCAATGTGCTCAACTTCATCAGGAAATCCATTCAATTCAAAGCTGTCTCTCTCGCCCAATCTCATAACAAGTGGAGGGTGGCAACCATCTGTATTCACCATAAAGAGAAGCATTTAGATTCATACATATTAGAAAACCAAGGATTTAATGTTAGTAAAATAAGGGAGGCTACAAATTGTGGAAATTAAAATTTTGAATTTGAGGTATCTTCTTTTATGCCCCAACTAGTCTGGGTTGAAGCTTAGGTTGTTGCTGCTTGTTGTATCCTCTTTTTCCATGGTTATTTGACTGAAAAGTAGTAGCTGATTTTGCTCAAACATATTGAATGTTACCAAAAATTTCTTCCTTCTCTTTTATCCATAAACGAATTATACCAAAAAATTCTTAGGCATAAGAGGTAAAATACTCGCTTGAAAGCATTTGATTGATAGTAAAATAACTATTTCTTCATACCATTTACACCCAAAAAGGGCTGTTTAAGTTACACTACTATACGGCATCTTTCAACATTTTGTTTTGGAAATAAAAAGGCAGACACATGTTCTAAGTCCACCAATATGTCTCCAGATCTTCTTCCCTTATCAGCGGAATAAGGCTCATAGCAACCTTAGAATGCAACCATAACAACAACTACTTCTACTACTCAATCCAACAACTACTTCTACTACTCAATCCCAAGCTAGTCTTGGCAGCTAAGGATGCAATAATAAGCTGAAAAGTACACAAAAAAAACAATGACTAAACATCAAACATACAAAGGAGAGCATTACAACTACAACTACAACAACAACAACACAGTATAATCCCACAAGTGAGGTCTGGGGAGGGCAGTGTTTACGCAGACCTTACCCCTATCCTAGGGGTAGAGAGGTTGTTTCCGATAGACCCTCGGCTCAAAAGAGTATTAGCATCTCTAAAATCAAAAATACATTGTGTCATCTTCAATCAATCATTTACCTTCTTTATTAATACTAGGCGGAGATGGAGGAGCAAGCGGAAACTCTTCACATGGAGGATCATATGATGAAACTGATGAAAATCTCCCAAAATCAACAGCTGCTTTACGCCTTCTTCGACGAATCCCTCCTCTTTGTTTCAGATTCATCACCCCTTTCCCCTTTATCCCAAGCCTTCCTCCACTCACACCTGATGAATTTACTGCCCCAAATTCATTCCTTGGACTTAACTCAATCCTAGCAATATTATTATGTGACTTTCTTGCATCTGATACTGAACTACATGAAGCCTCATCACCCATTTCAAGATACCTATTAGGACTATTCTCCCTTTCGCCAATTAATCTCCAATTCAAATTACAATTCTGTTCCTTTCCCCACATGGTATCATTAAAAGGGAAATTTGCTTTTACAGAAAGTTGAACATTAGACACTTTTTCAGCTGGGAAATCAATCAAGAGTCTATGAAAACATAAATTTCCATTACCAAAAAGACCATCACAAGGACATGGCAATCTTAAACCAAAAAAACCAAGAAACTTTGATGCTAAATAAGCTACTGTTGCTGCACAAAGCAAGAAATATGCTATAGCTAGATCAACAAAAGCTGCCACAATACCACTCAAACTCCACATATAGCTACCCTCACACGCCATTTATTCACCCCAAAATACAAGAAAAAATGCCAACTTTACTACTTAACAAAGTAAAGGGTCCACCTTTTATCTGATAAATTTGCACAAAAAAAAAAAAAAATTTCCCTTAGAGATCACCAATTGATTCCTTCAGGAAAATTCAAGAGCAAACCAACCAGACAAAATATCCCATCAAATTTTTTACCCCAAAATTCTAGCAAAAATTCCAACTTTACTACGTACTAAACAAATTAAAGGGTCCAGTTTTTTCTGATAAACTTGCAGAAAAAATGAACTTTCTCCCCTTCAAGAAAACCCACGAGCAAACCAATCAGAAAAAAATATCCCATAAAATTTTAGACCTTGCAATATAGTGGAAACTGTTGTTTCTTGATTTAGGTACCCCTAATAATGAATGTTTTGAAGTAGACATAGGACTTTTCTCACATGTAAAAGTGTTCTGTACAGATTTTTATTGTTTTTCTGTAGGCTTTTACGATGTCGTATTACGGCTTTGAGTGTTTCATTAGTCACAATCGTCAACTGATTGTAGCTTCAGTAGACACCACGTGCATTTTTCAATGTGACATTATTGTTGTCATCATTATAGTAGTAGTACTATATAGCTAACTTCTATCCGTTTAGCGCCTTCTAAAAATTTGTTAGCTTCCTTTTTGAAAAAATAATGTTTGACATCAAAATTCAAAGCATTCTAGATGTCTGAATTTACTTGTTTCTCCGATCATAAATATTTAATCAGCCGGCTCGCAAAATTTGGCTGAGTTGATTGGGCGAGTGATTTTTCATATGGGAGATCTGAAATCGATTCACTTCACCAACAGCTTCCTCAATCAGTGCTCGTCGATATGCCTAGTGCGGTTTACATTTCCTTTGTAGTTTACGAGTTAGCACAGTGAGCAGGTTATTCAATGCGCACCCTAAGAATAGCTCCAACAAATTTCTCTGGAAATTTTTCAAAAAAATATTTAATCGCCTTTTAAATACCTTCTAAGTTTGACTCCTTTTATTTGGTATACACACATGGACATATCTGTAACGTGTATAGATTCACATGAACGTAATAATTTTTGTTAGGATTTAAGAAATTAATTAAATTATAAATTTAATTAGTGTTATTATATATTTGAAATCGTGTAAAAACTTATAAATTTTAAATTCTAAATCTAGTACTATCGCTTGCCTTAATTACCCTTGACCTCATAGGCGACTTATGTGATAAGGAGCATGACTACAATTTATTTTAGACGCTTGAGAATGGAAAAAATTAAGGAAAAACTAACTTTTAAATCAAATTGACCAAATGAGTTACTGTAACTTATAAACAACAACATATCCAGTATTATCGTACATTATGGGGTCTAGAGAGGGTAGTGTGTACGCAGACCTTACCCTTACCTTGTGAGGATAGAGAGGCTGGTTCCAATAGATCCTCGGTTCAGGAAAGCATAAGCACCATATTAATGAAAATATAAACAAGAAGGGACAGTACCAAAAAAACAATATAAAAGAGAATAAAAACAACAAGATAGTAAGGTGATCAACAATGAAAGAAAACAACGGTTAGTCATAAAACCCCATTACCAACAGAAAGCGAGATTGTGTGCCAATACAACTGTTATGAACACTCTAGACTACCTACTCTACTACCATAATCCTCGACCTTCATACCTTGCTATCAAGGGTCATGTCCTCGGTCAGCTGAAGTTGCATCATGTCTTGTCTAATCACCTTATAAGCCACAATAAATAACTAAATGAGAAAAAAGTTAACTTCCAAACCTAAGATAAAGAGAAAAAGCAAACTATACTATGCCTACAATTATTGGGGTATTATCACTATACACATCGAAATCTTAATGGATTGAGTTAAATACTAAATTCAAGATACTACAAGACCTCTTGAAATTCTAGGAGTCTGTTAGTGTTGCTTAGAGGCTACTCTACCAAAACCCTAGGTCACTCTTATAAAAAGGGTTACATAATCCTTAAAAAAGATCTCAAAACTGGAGATCATCTCGAAAATCCCATAAACTCACGAGATATTCACAAAGAGATCAAGAAGTGGCCGGATAATTCTTGATAATCAAATACTTCAAGAAGATCCACAACATACTTCATGGATATCAAATAAATGCATGAAAGCCCGCACCATCCTACGTTCGAGAAGCACGTTGTTCTAGCCCTCGAATTGCACGGAGATAATCAGGAGAGAAGAATCAAGGGGATAAACAGAATTGTACCCGCATCTTTTTATGAATAAAATTATGTTTCTTCATATTTATATTGTGGTTGCAATTTATTTTTGAATCACGAAAATTTATTGCGAACAATCACTTTTTGCCTGCGCCAGAAACTATTGACATTTGGCAGTCGAAAAAGTATATAATTTTTGTATATATCATACAGAATGTATATATATACAAAAAATATATATTTTTGCGATTATTATTTTTACAGCGAGTATACAACGTCATTTTTTCACTAAGTATTCAAGGTTCTACTTATGAAGTGAAAGCAACATTTGAGACCATATTAGCCATACGATATATGTATGTCTATACCTCTAATAAATAAGAAAAAATGAAAAGAAAAAAAAAGAAGCGGAAAATCAAATTTTAGCATAGAATAGCGGTAATTCAGAGATCTCTAGTTCTAGTTCGGTTTGGATCGGTTTTTTCCTTAAAAGAGACCAAATTAAGTATGTCGGTTTTTCAAATATTAGAACCAAAGCAAACAAATTAAGTCGGTTTTTTCTCGATTCGGTTTATGTCGGGTTTTGTCGATTTTTCGGTTTTCGGTTATTTGTCGGTTTTTTCTTAAATATAAGACATACACTACCAAACACATATTCCGGCGATCACGTTTTCAACGTAACACTATCAAATCAATTGCCCTTTGAGAAATCTATTATTTACCAGGATATATTGTTGATAATTGAATCAAATAGTGATGAATAATTTCAGGACTCAATTAAAAATATATTATTTTTAACACGAAATGGATTCTTACACTTAACAAAAGAAAACTACCAATCAAACTAGAATGTAAAGGTAAAGAACTATACTAAAAGTGCAAACTATTAACATTTACCATTAAATTTTTGAAACTTTATATAAAAATATATATATAAGTAGGTGTAATAATAAATTTGAAATAGCTACTCCAATAGTCGGTTTGGTTCCTTTTTTTCGATTTTTTTCTGATTAAAACCAAAATCAAACCAAATTTGATCGGTTTTTAAAATTCAAAACTAAAACTAAACCAAACCAAAAAGTATCGATTTTTATGGTCGATTTAGTTTGGTTTCCGATTTTTCAGGTTTTTATGAACACCCCGTCAAAAAGGAACTAAAAGAAATAAACAAATAGAAGAGGATAATTAAGAGAAAGGTCCAGGCGCCCAAACGGATAGAAGTTGCTATTATGATAAAGAATGCTAAAAATTTTGGACATAATTGCTACTACAGCTTATATATCAAATAACTAATTTTAGCAAAATGATTGGACTATTTACCAGACAATATTTTTATTTTAATACGTTTGGAAAGAATAGTTATTTTTATATTTATAAATACTTTTGAATCAAAGGCCTATCAGAAATATTCTCTATACCTTCTTAATGTATGGATAAGGTTCGCGTACACACGACCCTCCCCAACCCTACTTGTGATTGAGCTTGTTATTATTTTTATTGTATATTTAAAAATAATTTAATTTTAAAATTTTTATTTTATTTTTAATAATTTAATTTAATACTCCCTCCGGTCCATAATAAGTGACCTTTTTGCCTTTTTATTTTAGTCCAAATAAGTGACATTTTATATAATCAAGAAGGAATTAATTTTATTTTTTTAAATTTGCTTTGTTTAGAAATCCCAATATGTCAAGTTAACAATATGCTAATTTTAATTAAGGGTAATTTAGTTAAAATATCCTCTCTTTTTTCTAGGAGTTAGTATTTTCTCAAAGGGTGTGTCAAATATTGAAAAATTATTTATTATGGATCGAAGGGAGTAGCACTTTATATCCGATCAAATATATTCACATAAAATCATGGAACTAATATTTTTTATTTTTAAGAAAACATGAACGCGAAGTAAACCAATTATTTTAGCTAACTTCGTATATAAGGTATCTTAGATTATTCCCTCTCTTTTATCTTATCCTGAGCCTTTCCATACCAGAGAAGAAGAAAAAATAACCAAATCTTTCTTTTTCTCTAAGAATTTATTTAAGTATTTATAATATGAGTCGATATTAATGTAGTAAAGTGGATAAGATATTCAACTGCCAAAAGTGATGACATGTAGTTCAATTTCTTTTGTTTCATTCACGCCGTTTTCCTCCATTTTCTTCTCCCTACCATAAAGATCCAAGCAATCCGACATGATTTTAATAGAATAATTATTTTAGCTGATTTCATGTATGGTATGTTGTTTTTCCGAAACTATATAAAAATGAGGATAGTGATTTACATTCATTGAAATTCCTTTGGTTAGAATGTTTATGTTCTCAAGAATTAAATGGATTAAAGTTTATCAACATTTACATTAAACTAATGAATGCAAGACGTGTATTCTAACTCTAATATTTAGCAGATAAAGTTAAATTGATCGGTTTAGTACAATTATTTGGGAGAAAATAAAAAATAGCGAGATTTACAATTGGTAATTGAAAAATAGCCATAGTTTCAAAAGTAATCAAATTTAGCCATCTTTTCATGTAAAGATAAAATCTGAACAAAACGCCGTTAAAAATCCTGAAATATTCCAACATAATATGCCGGAGTTCGAACTTTTACATATGAGATTCCAGCATAATGTGCTGGAGTTTCAACATAATATGCTGGAAGTTTATACGCATGAGCTTCATATCTAGCATATTATACTGGAACTTTCTGTGTGATGGAGTTCCAACATAATATGCTGGAAGTTTAAATGCAAGAGCTCTATAATCCAGCATATTATGCTGGAATTTTTCATGTTTCAGCAAAATAATATCTATTTTATAAGACAAAATTACACCATAATGCACTTCATAAGTAGACCTTGCACTATTTTAGCCCAGTTACAAGTTTGCAAATGTGTAGCCAAATATTAATAAGACATTTTCTTTTAACCTCTAGCTATAATAACCTCATCTTTTTTCTCATCACCTACCTACCGTATTGTAGCTCCCTCCTCATTTTTCACCTATAAATATTTAATTTAATTAATAAAAAAGTATCATATGCAAACAAAAAATGAAAACGAAAATCAGTTCCCTATTTTAGTGTAACCATTGATCGAGACGCTCAGTCAACACTCATTCATGCCTTCTCCCATAATTAATATTTCTCCGAATTGTTTTTTTTCGTTTTCTTATTTGTGTATCTTTAGGCGTGAAATATCCCTGAGTTTTTATTCTCTTTTTTCCTCAAGTTTATTCATACCTATCACAACTA